CTCGTGTCATGTTGATTAATTCACCTTCACATTTCATTACCGAGCTTAAAATTCACCATCTTTATTAACAAATATCTAGTAGAAAACAAAACTAGACTGCTTGCCCCTGCTTTCTGTGATGGAAAATCAATAAAACTCCACTATGCCTAGTGAAAAGTGATCAATTACTACAAAATATCTTTCAAAGTCTGGAAATGATCAAGACGGGTTTGGCCTGATCAGATTATTCACGTTGTGTTATTGGGCAATAAGCTTTACCTCGATAGAACGCTCTTACGGCAGTACTAGGGTTATACACGTAATAGGTATCCTGACATTATTCGGAGGAGAGAGAGAGACAGAGACAGAGAGAGACAGAGACAGAGAGAGACAGAGAGAGAGACAGAGAGAGAAATATCCCGTCATGATAAATAAAAACAATGCCCTATTCATTTGACGTTCCCAAAACCAGAGTTGAACTATCAGCTGGTTCTTCTGATGGTTGTTAATAAAATGATAACTGACGTTACTACTCTGGTTAGTCAAAATAGTGCTCTCGTAGCTTGAATAGTCTACAATTTAGAACTTTAGTAGCACTGATACTTAACATATTCATGACAAATTTGCCATCTAAATTAGTTTTGCGAGCTCACCAAGGACAGTGAAGCTGGTGTCACTGCTTGTTCCAGTATCTCCGACAGAATTATTGGCCTCACATCTAAATACAAACTGGCCAGCATTTTCCATTGTCTTTATCACTGTTCCCAATCCCATATTGTAAATCACAGTATCATTTTCAGATAGTAAATAAGTATGGACTGCTGGGTTAGCTTCAGCGCTGCATGTGAAGTTTATAATGATTCCTGCACAAACTTCGTTTGTTGTATTTGTGGTTAAATGAACATTGTTAGGCTTATCTAAAAGACAAGAAAGAACAACATCAAAAAAACTTAAGATCAGAAAACAAATCATGTCATAAAAACCACTTTCATCGTGGAAAAATAATATTATTCAGTCTGTATGCAGATCTTGGGTCTCTGTATATACAGTAGTCATTATTGCTGCCAAGCAAGTTACCATTTACATTCTCATAACAAACCCAACTGTCCTGATACATTGCTCATCAAGCTTAACTGATAATTATGATAATTTTATAAGTCACACCAAACCTAATATTTCTGTCGGCTTGTGTTTGAGAAAGAAGATTTGTGATGGGTGCAATCGATATCCACTACAGGCAAGCTCGTCACAGGACAGGCATGCCCTGCCCCAGCGGCTGTAGGGAAAAGTTTAGGCTGATTAGGTCTTTTCCCGGTTCTTTCTCTTCCTTCTTTTCACTTCAAGGGTTACCCTTCTGGAGCTTTTCGAGGATGATATTACCCGCTAGCCCGTGTGTCACCAGGTATCTCTGTCAGCAGCCAGCGTGGACCACTGCCATGGTTTATGTTGCAAGAGTTAAGGGACATCTTTAGTGATTCTTTGTGCCTCTAAAGGGTGCTTTCATATCACGATGGCCAACAAACGCTCACCATATAGCTAAATCTTCAGTAGGCGGTAACATTCAATTCTTAAGCGTCTGGTCTCAATGGTGGTGATCTCCGCCTTCTGGAGGACTTCGAGGTTCTTAAAGACATCAACGCAATGAATATTGAGAATACGATGGAGGCAGCGCTGATAGAGGCGCTCGAGTAAGATGGCGTCCATACGTGCACCTGGACTGGCACCGTACAAGAGAGAAGTCACCTTTTCAGATCTGTACATAATAATGATATGCTGATCTTTGT